GGATTTACAGACGTCCACGCGATGGTCGAAATTTTCAATGACATTTTGCGACATGGTCGGTTCTATGGCATTTATATCGACAATGATGTTTTTTTTGAGTTCTTGGAGGGTGGCTGGTTTGTTGACGTAGACTTTGCTTTTCAAATATCCCCATAAAAAGAAGTCCAAGGGAGTCAAATCGCACGATCTTGGTGGCCATGGCACATTTCCTCTGCGCGAAATCACGCGATCACCGAAGAAGGACTGCAATCGATGGATATTGACGTTGGTTGTGTGGCATGTTGCACCGTCTTGTTGGAAATAAACCTCGTCCATATCCATTCCTTCAAGTTGCGGCAAAAAATAGTCCTCTATCATCACGTGATATCGCTCAGAATTGACGGTAACGGCGTCCCCGGCCGCATTTTCGAAAAAGTAAGGTCCGATGATGCCTTTTGATCACAATGCACACCACACAGTCACTTTTTGAGGATGCATCGGCTGCTCTTGATACTCGCGGGGATTTTCGTTCGCCCAGATGCGGCAGTTTTGCTTGTTTACCGTCCCATTCAAAGTGAAATGCGCTTCGTCGCTGAACATGATTTTTGATGAAAAATTGGCATCAATTTGGCGGTGTTCAAGGAGCCAATCTGAGAACGTTCGGCGCGAAAAATGGTCGGCCCGACGCAGCTCTTGCGTCAATTGGATCTTGTAGGCGTGTACATTCAAATCCTTGTGGTTCTCGAAATGCCCAATTCTTGGGATCGACGCGTTGTTGATTGTTTCGGATCGTCTCTCACACTCTCCTTCACAACAGCAATACTTTCCGGTGTGCGAACGCTCCTTGGCCGGCCAGAGCCTGGCTGATTTGCCACAGAACCTGTAGCCTCGAATTTACGCACCAGACGACCGATGGTTGTTTCGTTTGGGCGGTTGTTGCGACCGAAATGTTCACGAAGCGCGCGAAACGTGTTTTTTATTTTTGCACCATTTTTGCAGTGCTCTTGAATAACTTTAATGCGGTCTTCAATCGAATACGACTCCATAGCGATCAATGGTAAACATTCAACTAACAAAATGACATGTCGGTGACAGAAAACAAAGATGGCGTCTATGTCAAATTGACGTTTACTTTCCTGCGTCCCTATTGGACAACCCTGTATAATTACGCATTTAATTATTTATTTCGTTATTTCGTTGATCAGGTCTGATACATTCTTGCTCAAGACGATAAAACGCAATTACAGAAACAAATTTCTTGAAAACACTGTCATTTTTTTCTAGACACAAATCGAGTGTCGCCTATTTTCAGATGTGGCTTTCAGATGACGTTGAATTTTTAATAAGGCGTCCGTGTCCCCGGCCGCAAAAAGTGTCAGCTGTCGTTGCGAGATGGTTGCCTGCAGATGAAAGCTGGTAATGAAGTGCGAGCTTGGAAGTTCAAAATAGATGAGTTTAATGTATTTTTAAAGTGACGACGCGTTGTGGTAAATAAGCCGAGCACCGCCAGACATGTTGCATGATTCGAGGAAGTGCGGGTGCTCTGTGCTCTGTCTACATCCGACAACGGATTTCTTCATAGGGATCGTGTTGATCTGATTTGGGTATTTATAGGATTTAATTTGACGTTTCCAACAAACATGTGGAATGAACCGAGTTGCCTATAACCTCTGATTAGACTTGGTTAAAAAGAGCAAGCCTACGATTTGTTTCTAAAGGGTGGACCATCAGTTGTTTTCTTTAAGTTGACAGTTGGCAACACTTCTATGCTCAACGTATTGACAGATATATTGTGTCAAACTTCCGCTGTGAGGAATGGATCGTTTTAATCTTGAACAAAGGTGGAAAATATTGAAAAACTATTTTCAAAGTGAGTGCTGTGTTGTAGAATCAGCCGAAAAGATTGCTGCTGTTGCCCAGAGTGTGCCTGTAAATACAAGAATGTCACTCGTCACAGAGCATAAGTGCATCAGTTGCACTTCTGTGCGGAGAATATTCCACAACGACCTGGGATTATTTACTTACAAGGTGCAACTTGTGCAAGAATTGAAACACAATGACCATCCGCTTCGATATCGTTTCTCTGTGTCGGCTCTAAATCAACTGGAAACGGACGTTAACAAGCGGAATTGTAGGATTTGGGGTTCTGAAAATCCACATGTCGTCATAGAAAAACCAATGCATCCCAAAAGAGTGACTGGTGCGGCTTTTGGAATGGTGGGATTATTGGTCCCTACTTTTTTCAAGATGAAGATGATAACTTGCACAATCTCTGCTTCCAGCAGGATGGCGCAACATACCACACCAGCCGTGAAACAATCGATCTTTTACACACTAAGTGCGGTCAACGCGTTATCAGCCGTTTTGGAGCCGTTCATTGGCCAGCCGCAGCTGTGATTTGACGCCCATGGATTACTTCCTATGGGGTACTGTTAAGGACCCCTGTTATACTAACGATCCTCAAGCAACTGATGTTCTTGAGGAAAATATCCGTCGATCTATTGATGAAATATATCTACAAACTATCGAAAATGTGCTTCAAAATTGAGTTAAGAGGATGGAATACTGCCAGGCCAGCCGCGGCAGCCATTTAACTGAAATTGTTTTTCATAAGTAATCGGAAGTATCAGTACATATTATTGAAGAGTGTTGTTTTAGTACCAATTTGAAAAAGAAAGACTTGACATACGTTTATTATGTTCCGGCCTCGTCTCGTAAATAGTATTAGTACCTAGTTTCCCGGCCAATCCCACCAGTTCAAAGCGCACACGCAGCGAAGAAAAAAGTCAAATTGTTGCAACAATTGTATGATACACAGGGAGGGAGGGAGCTATTAACTTCGCATTAGCCTATTGCTTCTGTCAGATCAATAAACTTGCTTGCTTTTGACCATTGATGTTTTTTATTTTATTTTAGTAGTAATAAAAAGTTTGCTTGAACTGAATGCAATTCGTAAAGCAAGCTCAATATAAATGCAAAACCTAGTTGATAGGAGTCAAAAAAACAAGAAATATGCCAGCAAATATTTTAATTCACTGCAGTAAATGCAATAGGGTGTGAATAATCCTTATTCACCTGAGCCATGACAGCATAAACACATATATTTTTATGCTTGTACAATGTAATTTATTTTGTTCGCAAATAAAAACAATTCGAATCGGAAAAATTATTTGCATAAAAACTGAACAATTGAGTCTGTACCCCATCTTTTTGGAATTACACGAAATTCTACAACTTATGGTTTAGGGCGCCATTAAATACGGTAAGTCACTTCTAGTTTACATTAGGGGAGTTATAACGGTGCAACAGTATATAAAGGAGACACTGGAACCCCATTCCTACAAACGAACCTCAATAATGCTCAAGTCAGCGTCCTTCCTTAGCCTCCTAGATCTCGACTTATTTTGGTATTTTTTATACTCTAAGGGTGGATTTCACCAGGATTGTCAAATCAACAGTCCGTTATTCTCCACCTATAGGGTAAAGCGAATGAGCTTCAAGTTCCAATCAACAAATTTTAGCAACCAATAGCTATTAAATGTTGAAAACAAAATACTGTCAAAGTTTGAGATCACAGCTTGTCATTAAAACATCACCAGCTTATTGAATATTAAGAAATTACATATGGTTTAGTCAAAATTTAAAAAAGTGTTCGATTTTTTAATAAAATTCATGTTTTTATTTAATATTGTCGTTTGTTTATTCGCGATTTTACTGATCCAGCATGACCTACCGCGTGTTCTTTTCCTATAAACCTATTGCAGATAGCCAATAAGGACCTATTTGATGACAGGCTCTACCAAAAATTTCATAGATATTGCTCGTTTTCAAACATTCATTCATTTACTTGACGTTCTTCAGTACCATTAAGCACCGTCGATTGATATTCCCACAAAACCATTCAGGGATTTTTGATATTCATACATAGTCAAAATATTTTTTGGTTGTTCAGGAACTGAACCAACATCCACACTATATTTACAGCGATTAAGAAATACTCAAATATATGTCGTAAAGCTACCGGCAAACTTAAAACCTGCAAAAAAATAGAAGCGACAGTAGCTTCGTTTAGATTCTCCCGATTAGCGATTTCTCTAAAAGAAGATCCGGCTGTGTATCCGACTCGTCTCAAACTCGGAAAGTTGAATGACATTAGCGCGTCTCCGAACTCTAGGCATGATAATGCAATGAAACAACAATGAAACAAATGGTACCAACATCGAAAACTCACTAAATAATAAGTGAACATATATGTTCGTATTGTTCGGATCCTGTATAAGACAAGACAGCCTCTACAAAAAAAGCACGGCTCGAAATGTCTTCAACATTTCATCAGCGTATACTTATGATTCCATGATAGCAAATATGTTTACAAGTTTTTAGCAAAATTCAATAAATCATTCTGGGTGTTGCATTTTATATTTCACATAGTACGAGTATATATGTAAGCTTACGAAATATCTCAGACACATTTTTTTGCATGCGAGTCCAACCCTGTAGCACACAAAACCTTTCCAGAAGGTTCACAAGGCTGCTTAGTGTCACTCAGCGCGACAGCCCTTACGCCTGTTTACATTATACATTCCATTCCTTCTCTGGGTACTTGTTCCCAGGATAAACTTTGTTAAAGATACGGGCGTGGACGGCGATGCAGTTCAATTAATGCGTGGAGGAGATCGCTTCTCAGACCAAGTAGTGCGCTTTGTGAACTTGATTACAGTGTTGATGTGCTATTGGGTGTAGCGTTTTGGTTACCTAAAAGGTGACCAATCACTGAGTATTTCCTTTATTCTGCTGTACTGCATGGATTGATAACTATAACACTTTTGTAGTCATGATCATGAATGTCGTAAGCCATATTTATATAGAAGCTTTGATCGTATAGCCCTAGTTATAAACATACTTTGAGCATATTCATGTTTACAAAGATGCTTTGATTATATATCCATAATTATAACGAGGCTCTGATCATATATCCACATTTATAACGATGCTTTAAGCATATATCCACATTTATAAAGATGCTTGGGTCATATATTCATGTTTCTATCATTGGCTTACGGACTCAATAATTGCGGATAAGGATAGGGAAGTTAGGTGGCTCATACAGGGGTGACGTCTCTAGTCTCTGGGGGTTGTTATGGGACTTGTGGGATCCGTTTGCTGGGTTAAGGTAGTTATGCTACTTACTGTTCGGTTTCCTCTACCAGGGGTAACATCGGAGCTTTGGGGTACTGACACAACGGCCCTTGGTTAGCTTGATATCCCGGTTCCTCGGTAGTAACAATCGTTAAACTCAGCATATCTGTCTATACGCCTAGATATCACATAGGGTGCTGTGTGCTTAAAACTGTTGATCACATATAGGCTGCTGTGTGCTTAAAATTGCCTAAGTGGAGGACTGTGTGTCCCAGGGGGGGTGCCCCCGTTCTTAGAGTCTGCGGATCAGTATATGATAAAGCAGAAGTAAATAATGATGAATTGGTACCACTGCGGATAATTAATGTAATCCTAAGGTACTGCATGTTATGAGTCGGTTGAATATGGGAGGTGCTCAACTCATTTTTCTATAAATAGATATTGGCCCTGACAATCCGATCGTATCGCCCTTATCGCTTGCCAAAGGAGGATAACTCGTTGCCGTTCCGTCATCAAGTAAGTGGCTTTAATATTATCCTGACATTGTTGCCCATATCGAATTGTTCACATCCTGCCCTTTTAGTAAAAATCAAATGGTACGGGGCGTTACTTCGGAATCTTCTAAGATGAGATGTTTTCACGTTTATCGTTATATTGCTATTATCATATTAAGGTTCGTATCCTACATACATATATCTGCATACATTCCTTTGGGAAGCAATTTCTAATCAACTCCACCAGACCATATCCAAGGCACTTCAGTACATTGCTAATCTTCTTTTTTCTGTATAAATTTAATATAGCCTTACGTCGGCACGCCACATGCCTTTCCCCATGAGAAACATCAACTTGTCAGCAAGACCAGACGCATATAAATTCATTGTTTGTAATAAAACTGGCTCGATAAACAGCCATTTAGCCGTTTCCTAACTTTTTGTGCTGAGGACGTAGAAAATAAACAAACCAAACCGACGGTTATGCGTTATTTGAATGGAAAAGAATCTTTTATTATGCTCTGGAAGTGAAAGAAAAATGCGTATGGCAGTGTTGTGCCGTTACGTCATTTGTTTTTAACCAGAACGTGACATAGCTAGAGTCATGGCACATGTTATACTAGGAGTATATAAATACTTCTAGTTTTATACAATTCCAGCTGTCGACTTTATTTCTGGTAAAGCGAATGTAGAAATGTGAACTTTGTGTTTGACATGTTTTTACGAGTTTGTATACAGTATAAACGCAGTTTTATCGGGAATGAACAGAGCCAGGAATTGTGTTTCGTGAAAAGAATACAATATACAAAACCAGATTATAAAACATTTTGTCTAAAGCTTTCTGGATGTACGAAATTCGATACGATATATCATGAACGCATGATATATCAAGAATATTTATTATTGGCAAGTCCAATATATTCGCGTATTTTTCGGTCATCGATTGTGCAATTTCTTGATGGATAAAGTTGCTTGCCTATAAAGAATCTACGAGATCACTTCGTACATAGCTATTTTAACCATAAAGACGTGACACAACTCAAACTTCCTGTCGACTTTCTAAGTAATATTTCCTAATGAACCACGTTTTGTGTACAATACTAAGAAGCAACACCTTTCCTAAGACAAATACAATTTTTATGAATAAACATTTCACAAGCATAATAAAAGCTTTTATTTCCGAGGGAGCATGGTTTGTTTAGTAAAGTAAACTTCACTCTAAGACAATGAACTCATAATGAAAATAACGGCACTTCATTAAGCAACTGCAAACCGCAAATTAGAAAGTAATACGTATAATTCTTCAATGGATGTTTATTTGGTTTTTAGAGTGACCCTGAAGCTCGAATATTGAAACTGATCTAAAGGCAATCCATTGATGTCTTATAGATTACACAGGCTGACAAAATTTTCAACCAGAAACGAAGGTTCTTATTGCGCTGAATCTGATTTCATGATCCAAATATCTCAAACGGCTTAGTTTCATAGATATTCTAACCTTAAGGTGCATTTTACATTTTTTGCATGTATTTGAGGTTATGTAGGATACCGGATTATTGTTTTACTTCTTACGTCACTGGGTGAGACAGTATTGTGATCGCGAAACATTTCCACAATAAAATATTGTATTTTTTGGATATTATATGACATGTAGGTTCACGAAAAAACATGTCACTCATTTCCGTAGGTCTGTCTTGTCCGCTAATCCTTCTCCCGTCTATAATTCGAGAAGTGCTGCTCGGATTTTGATGAAATTTTCTCACGACGTTGCTACTATACCAAGGACGAAAAAGTTTTGTAGTATTTGAAAATCGGACCAGTGACGGCGTTGAAAAAAAGTAGGGATAAGAGAGGGCGGGGAAAGAATGTATATGGACTAATTGTATGGGCCTGTTTGACCGACTTAATCCGTTTAATTTCTCTATCGTATATGTTCGTAAATTACTTTTTCCTCAGACTTAATCATTAATGAATTGATGAGGGCGCTACGTAGGAAGTGCAGAGTCAACCTACTTGAAGCCATTTTTCTCAAAAAACCATAAAAATCGTCTCAAAGTACAAGCCTTACGGCCAATTTCACGAACTATTATGGACCAATGGGAAAATACCTTATCGAAATGCAATTTGACGGAACCTGTCAAAGGTCTCTGAATATTAGTGATTTCTATTGAAATATTGAATAAAATCGTGAAAATTCGACTGTATTATAAACAAGACCACTTCTTGTTTCCAACATGATGCCTTTGTACAGAAAAAACAGGACAACTTTCATGTATTTTGATTTATGTTATAGGTTTACATTTAACAATCCGTTATCCCCCTCAGCGAATGGGAATGCGGCAAATAATAGGTCGATTTTCTAGCTGTTAAATTTGGCAGCAGATTTGGACGTTTGTTAACGCGTGGCACTCTTGAATTTACCAACTTCAACATACTGAAAGTTATCATTACATACCTTTTGAATAGTGTGGATTTGTCTGTATTTTGCAAGAAAATAGAATATAAAATACATTCCATCCAATTCCTCATCTTCCTTTACGTCATAATAGTAATCATTTATTAATTTATGGGTTAATGAATTTCTTCAAAGCAATAAAAACATTATGTCCTCTCCATCCTAAAACACAGATAATATGTGTAAGACGTGTCAATCCCTACATCTCCCTGATGCATAATGCAATTACTATGGACATAGACAAAAAATTATGAACAATGTTTCACAGATAATGGCTTTTAAGTCCAAAAATCAAAAAAACTAGTAATGTTGATTGTTTATCTATTTTTCTTTTTTGACTGGCGGGGATATCTATCTGACACTCGCAGGGTTGCCAAGTCAACGACGATCACGTCCGGTGGTGGAGGGTGCGGAACGAATCTTTTACATTTGCTGGTTTTGAATATTTTTCGTGAAAATTTTCTAGGTATCATGATTATAAGCATCTTTGGTAGATTGTTCGATCCGGAATGCGAAAGATCTCCTATTTATGAAAATATTTTTGGTATCATCTAACCGTTGCAATCAGTGCACAAACACTGTGACATATGATTTATAGCATAACCTGTCGCCCTATCAATATAAATTTAACACACTGGTCGCCTAGCCGTGAGGATGCAGTGGTCGGGATGAATATCACGGCAGCAACTGACGATTTGGGCATGTCTGGTAACAACGTATGAAGTGAGCTAACTTCACAAATTTGAAGATTTTGTACAATTTCTTTGAAAATGATGAAAGATATGTCTGATTTGGCAGGGTAATGTCGCAGCCAAATGGCAGTTACTCTTTCTGACACAGTCCGAATCGAAAGATGACGATACTCATGAAATGTCTTGATACTTCTAAATATAGGATCGTATCGAACATCCCTACTGTCAAGAAGTATAACCCAAGGTACCGACGGAGCTATTTTGCGGCATCATGGAAATAATTTTAAATTTTCATTTGCATTTTTTTAAGTGTTGTGCAATGATTTTGGGAAAAATGTCACGAATAGTCTTATAAAGCATAGTACATACAGTATATTTCAACAGATGTCGGAACTTACTGCACTTGGACCAGGAGGGTGAATCTGGATATTAATGCACAATCTGGAAACCCTGTCGCAGCCTCACAAAATGGCCGCTGACAACCACACAAGTCACCGTGTTGTCATTTAATAGCATGGAATTAAACCTTCAGAGTATATGTTTTGTGACTGGTACCAAGAGTTGACAGATCCCACACATGTGTTACTCCTTGAAATGCAATAATCAGCTTGTATTCAAATAATGTCTAATATAAATATAACCTAGAATGTGTACTCGTGAAAAAAGAAAAATATGGCAAATTTGTAGTTTTTCTTGCAGGTTTTAGGTTTGCTGGTACCTTTAAGGCATATATTTGGGAATTTCTTAATCGCTGTGAATATAGTGTGGATGTTTGTTCAGTTCCTGATCAACGAAAATTATTCAACTTTATGGATGTATGGATATGAATGGTTTTGTGGGAATATCAATCTAAGGTGCCAGAACGGTTCTGATGAACGGCAAGTAAATGAATGAATGTTTGGAAACGAGCAATATCTTTTGGTAGAGCCTGGCATCAAGTATATGCTTAATGGCTATCTGCAAGAGGTTTATAGGAAAAAACACCCAGTATCACATATCAATTGAAGAAAATAATATAAACATGAATAAAAAATCAACAATAGAAATTAAAACATGAATTTAATTCAAAAATCTAACATTTCTTAAAATTTTGCCTGAATTATATGTAATTTCTTAATATTCAATAAGCTGGTGATGTTTCAATGACAAGATGTCATCTCATACTTTGACAGTATTTTGTTTTCAACATTTCATAGCTATTGCATGCTAAAATTTGTTGATTGGAACTTGAAGCTCATTCGCTGTATCTGACGGTCTGTTACCCTCTAGGTGGAGAATAACGGACTGTTGTTGGTGAAACTGGGCCTTACTCTTTCAAATGCCGTTGAGTTTTCTTGAATATCTCTTATTTTTGCTGACATATGGCACTTTGAAATTATAATTTTTCTGAATTTCACTGTATATGAGCATATACAGGCTTACAGATAACTGCAGCGCCACATATGAGACTCTTTTCAGAGTATATGATAGTAGATAGAGAAACATCCTCATAAGAGGTCTCTAAATTAATCAGATTGACAACGTAGCGTTCGATCTGGCAATCCTGGAGGCGCCGGTCTTGGTGGGGAGAGAGGAGAACATGTGATCCTCCTTCAGTGCAAGTGTGAACTCGCTCGAGTCATTTGGTTGTCCGTAGCTACTTTTTTTTTGTAAAACAGCTTTTCTTATTGTGTTCTAAAATGAGTGACATCAACTTCGAACAATGCTATGCTATCAGGTTTTGCTTCAGACTTAGACACAGTGCAACAGAATTTTTTGCTAAACAGGCCTACGGAAATGGAGTTTTGTCATGAGCCCGGGTTTTTCGGTGGTTTAAGGCATTTTCAGAAGGCAGATAGTCGACTGAAGATGAACGTAGGAGCGGAAGGTCTTCAAGAACTGATGAAAATATCGACATAATCCGGGATTTTTCACCTGAATCCTTGTGACTTTTTTCTTTTTCCGAAGTTGAAAAATCACCTCAAGGCAACTCATTTTGGGACTGCCGGGAAGATTCAGGCTATTACAGTATCGGAGTTCCCGCATTGCTATGAGGAGTCTCCAACGTTGTGTGGCTTCAGAAGCAAGTTATTTTGAAGATGACAATATAAAATTGTAATTATAATATAAAAATCAGTCTCATCACTTAATTTGCAGACCTCGTATTTCCATACTACCTTGTAGTCCAATGGAAATAAACATTGTTTATCCCTTCATCTACTTAAAAGCACCGAATAATATATTCATCTCCAAACGATTCGCTGAGTCAACGATTGTCAAATTTTGGATATCCCTCATAAATCCTCATAATCCTTAAAGAACAGAACAACAACCATAATTTGTGCAGGCGATTGTATTATATCCAGAAAATCGATCATCAAATCGCTGAATAATGTAACCCGCATAAGCCTCGTGGTCGGCCATTGATCCAGCGACAAACAATCTAAACAAAACCGTTCTCCCTTTAATCTCATTATATTATTATTAATACGTCGAAACGAGAATGCTATACCGCACGGCTCGTTGACTTTCATATCCTTATCGATTTTAAATTAATTATCCGGATCTAGGCTCGTCCATCCCTGATTCGGATCATTTGCAAGCGTGAAAAGGGAATGCTTGTTGGTTTGGCGTAGTGGGCGTTGAAAAGGGATAACGCGACGTTACGAGGGATGTTTTTTAAGTCAGTCGACAATTTCCTGTTCTAATGGAGAATTCAAACGTGGACGGGTGAGTCTTGGCGACGATCCCAGGGTGGGTGCACCAAAAACGGCAGTCACCCAGGAAAACGTGGATGCTGTGCGCAAACTCATCATTGAAGATAGACATGTGACATTTCACGAGATTGAGGCGTCTTTGAAGATCTCAAAGACCTCAATTCAAAAAATTTTAGATGAAGAACTAGGAGTAAGAAAATTAGTTTCTCGTTGGATACCCCACCTGTTGACTGAAGAGCAGAAAGCAGCCAGATTAAGTGGCTGCTGTCGATGTCGCTAACAATATCGTTTATGAACAGTATGAAAAGCAAAGGACCTAAGCAGGAGCCTTGAGGTACCCCTGAGGTATGACTTAAGAAAGGATAACAGCTTGGGGAAGAATCCAAAATAGCTCAGCTTCGTTAACAGAATACTGTGATCAAGTTTGTCAAATGCTTTACTAAAATCTGTATAAATTACATCCACCTGGCTATTAGCATCTGATGCAGAGGAGACTGACTGAGTAAAACAGGCTAGGTTAGTTATGGTTCATAAAGCCATGCTGAGAAGTACTTATTTGGGAATCTGTATTGTGGAATAGGAAATTATGAAGCAAAGTTTCTAAGGCCTTGGAAAAATTACATACTAGGGTTATCGGTCTATAATTTTCAACCTGTAGTATATCACCCTTCTTGAAAATGGGACGCACCTTTGATTCGCCCCAAATTTCAGGAAACGTGTCAGTCTTTAAACATAGGTTGAAGATCTTTGTCAAGGGATGAGCTAAGACGTAGGCACAGTCACGCACTAAAAATGAAGGAATTCCATCGGGTCCGGAGGTAAATTTATTTTTCATTTGCTTTAACATTGTAAAAACTTCTTCTTCGGAAAAGCTCTGAAGTATTATGTTAGTATGCAAGTCCGAAATATTGATAATAGTTGCGTTCGAGGGCATAGTATATACAGATTGAAAAAATAGCGCAAAAGCATTAGCAACTTCATTGGGTTTGTCATACTGCTTACCATTATAGTTTACTTGGCTGATTGTGGAATTTTGTCCCCTTTTATTACAGATAAATGACCAGAAATTGTTCGGAGATAGGCTACTTTGGATATCTACTAGATATTTGTGATATGCGTTACGCTCATCGCGCTTAATTTTGGTCCTTAAATCTTTGAACTCAGTGTATGTGATCAAAATTTTATCCTTTTCAAACTTTTTGTGTAGCAAATTTTTTCTTTTAATGTCTCTAATCATTTCACCGTTAAATCAAACTGGAAATTTGAGAGATCTGAGACTTGTCCTAGGGACACACATATTAAAAATTTTACGAAGAATGTTATAAAATGTTTCCAAAGCTACGTTTACATCTGTTAAATTGTCAAGAAACGTCCAATTAACCAAGCTTATTTGTTCATATAGTGCTACAAAATTGGCTTTTCTGAAATTATATGATTTTCTGGCGCATTTGATACGCTTTTTAGAATGGAAGCTATATATATATTGCAACAATTCCTCTTAATGAGCAAGAACTGTTACTGCGGATTGGTATACCACGATTTGTTTGCCAAAAGTCATCTCCGAGCTTCGAAAAATCAACTCCGAAAGAAGAATCATCCTCCACCAAGACCATGCAAGCTCGCACGCAGCCCAAAAAACAATGCAGCATTTAACGGAAGAAAACGTGGAATTATTGGTCCATCCTCCATATAGTCCCGATCTAAGTCCTAACGATTTTTTTACCTTCCCGAAAATTAAAAACAGAGTGCGTGGTCAAAGGTTCCAGTCACCAGAAGAAGCAGTTGACATATTCAAAAATGCCGTTTTGGATCTGCCAGCAAACGAGTGGAATAATTGTTTAGAAAATTGGTTCGAGCGCATGCAGATATGTATTAATCTTCGTGGAGAATACTTCGAAAAACAATAAAGTCATTTAAAACTACCTACCGTGTTGTTTTATTTCCATATGCAAAACTTAAAAGACATCTCCCGTATAGAGGAAGCGCTGGTAGAAGTTGAGTATCCAAACTGTGAGCGTCGAATTTTGCTAACGTCTTAAATAATATGGATAAACATATTAATACAGTTTTAGTAATGATTGACCTTCGACACGGTTAACCACAAAATTTTGTTGAGTAAGTTAAAAATACTGGACTTTCTGACATACCTATCAAGTTTTTGGAAACTTATTTAACTAATCATAAACAAAAGGTCAAGGCAGAGGTGCCTCATCTTTTGTTGATTTTTCTTCAGGTGTCCCTCAGGGGTCTGTTTTAGGTCCTATGCTGTATTTAATATACTAAGTGACATATAAATCCGAACACCCAGTTTAAATGGTTTTATTTTAATAAAATTTTGTATAAGTACTTAATGAAGCATAATAAGTAAATGATAAAAATTTCAAAATGATTGCACTGCTTTAAAGCCCTTTGACCTTTAATAATGTGTGGATGCACCCTGATGTGCTACGCATTCTCCAACGCGCCTAGGCATGCTTCTGATCAGGTGGTCAATGTCCTCCTGTGGTATCTCATTCCAGGCAACCACCAACTCCTCTCGAAGTGCTTCTAGAGTCCGAGGAGAACGTTGCAAATTGAGCAATCTCCTACCAATCATATCCCACACGTTGGGGATAACTCGGGAGATCTTGGTGGCCATCGTAACAATGTGACATCATTATGTTGAAAGAAGTCTATTGTGACTCTTGCAACATGTGGTCGGGCATTATCTTGTTGGAAAGTTGGATCTGCTAGGGTGTCAAGATAGGGTAAAAGATGGGGTTCTAGAATTTCGTGGATATAACGCTGCGCGTTCATGTTACCTCCGATGAAGATTAAAGGTGACCTGGAACCATAAGCTGTAGCACCCCAAACCATAACTCCAACAGTGTGATGAACATGTCTTTCAACAAAAAACTGTGGATTCCTCCTTTCACCACGTCGCCTTCTAACCCTGGCACGAAAATCGTGCATGCCTAAACAAAATCGAGACTCGTCACCAAAGACAATACTGTTCCATTCCTGATCCCAGAGTGACCGTTGTCTGCACCACTCAAGGCGATTACGTCGGTGTTCTCGAGTTAAAGGGAGGACCCAGTGTGGCCGGTATGAAAACAAGCCAAAACTTCTCATTCGTCGGTAAACACTTCGCATGCCAATAGGTCTTCCGTGTTCTGCAAACCATTCATTTGCAATGGACCTGGTAGTGGAGAAATGGTCCCTTAAGGCCAATAATCTTAGGCGGCGATCTTCACGGTCTGTTGTTCTACGGCGGCATCCAGTGCCCCTTGCTCTTTGCGTACGGCGTTCTCGAAGCCATGCCTGACAACACCTAACCACAGTGTCTACACTTCTTTGCACTCTAACTGTAATTGCCCGAAAAGAAAGTCCAGCTTCCCGAAGTCCCACTATACGGCCCCTATCAAACTCACTAAGTTGATGAAATCGTACAGGTTTCCGTACTCTAGGCATCGTAACCGATCGTAAAGGATGTCAAGGACCAAAATCCGCCAACGTTGATTCTTTACTGCGGCTGAAATATTCATTTTTAGAGCGTTAGTGAATTAAAAAAAAAGCAGTATAAAAACCGGAATGTCCAACTGATAAGGCTGAAAATTTTTTCACTTGTTATTTACAGTAAGATAAATACATTCACCGACTTTTATTAAAATAAAACCATTTAAACTGGGTGTTCGGATTTATATGTCACTTAGTATATATACAAATACTTTCGATGTACATTCATGTATTGAACAAAGTGCTATACAAACTTATGCCGATGTTACGAAACTTCAGTTTTATTTTAACTTGTCTCATCTGGTAAAAAATCAGCTGTTGTGATTAGCTGTTAAGATCTTTCCTTTTTTTTGTATTTCCGTCTGATCTTTACTGGTTCTCATCTGGCTCCTTTTTAGGTAAACCAACAGAGGGCGGAATTTTTGTTTTGTTTAATGGCGTCGCATCGCAATTTTGTCATCAGCCATTCCCCTTACCCAAGTTCTCCAGCATCATCCAAGAATTTGGCGAACCCGATGTGTGGAACTCTCCAAACATGTTTTTTACCTAAATTGACATTTGCTCCTCTTGAATATTCTGATTTATTGCTTGGATCGCAATGGACATCCTTATTCTGCGCATTCGACAAACCTTCTATGCCCGAAGTATGGAACTCTCCAAACATGTTTTCACCTAAACTGACATTTGTTTTTTGAATATTCTGATTTATTACTTGGATCGCAATAGCCATCCTTATTCTGCGCATTCGACAAACCTTCTATGCCCGAAGTGTGGGACTCTCCAAACTTTTCTCGCCTAAATTAACATTTTCTCTCCTCGAATATTCTGATTAATTGCTTGTATCGCCGTTGCCTCCCTCAATTTGCTCTTCTTCCTCGAGTTCCCTTGATTCATCTGGGCATTTAAGATAATTTCTGTGCCCGAAGTGTGGGACTTTCCTAAACAGTTACCTAAATTCCCTTGATATTTACTCTTCTCTCCCGAGATCTTCTGAATCCTACGAGCATTTGAGATACTTTCTATGCCCGAAGTGTGAGCCTCTCAAAAAAAACTAAGTTACCTTAATATCTTGTATATGCTGATTTGTTACCTGGATACTCTCCTGGCAAATCTTATTTAATGGCGTCGCAATCTTCGGATCGCAATTTGAACATTCAGCCATTTCCCTTATCCAAGTTCTCCAGCATCATCCGAGGCATTTGACGTGCCGTGCCGCCTCTCCTCTCCAACGAACGAACGAAAGCAACTCTGCTCCGCTATCTCGGATTTTATGACTGCCGGGCAATTTATCATTCCTTTTAATGGGCTGGTTACAATGAGACGTTAAGCGAACGTCTTGTACCGTCGAGATACTTCTCGTTTACGTTATTCCGACATGGTCGAGTATTTGTTACCGGATAAATTCGAAGTTTAGTCTCGTTCGGTGGGAAATTGAGGTATAACGGCAGCATATTTGAAGGGCTTTCGTAGAATTTTATTGTTCAGTATGTATTACTGTATCAGTACGTGCATTTTGATACGAAAGAGATGTTTTCGGTACGATATGCTTATTATTTACGGAGAGCGAGAGAAGAACATTCGTAGAAGTATCCCAAAGACTTCTGGACACAGGGAGCGTAGTGCCTAATTTTAACAATTTTTTTTTTATATCGAAACAGCCGCGCAGGCCAAAGCCTAAATGCCGGAACACCGCGGCTTCTATGATGATCCCAAAGAAATTTTGTTAATACGATTTTTGAACTGCCTAAGGTTAGTAGAACTGGGAAAAGCTTCCTCCCGTAGTTTGTTCCACAATCTAGACAAAGGGGACAAAGGAGCGGTCGTATCGGCCAGTTCTGGATGTACGAAGTTTGACACGGTTAGGATGGGACGCCGAAGTCAGGCGGGTCTGTCTGGCAGGCACATAGCGCGGCGGCATCATGGAAGAGAGCTCTGAGGAGCAAAGCCCGTTGGTGTAGCGATAGAAAAGAGCTAGATCGCCGACGGCCCGCCGGTGCGAAAGAGTCCCGAGACTGTCTGTTAGAGAAGAGTCATCGATCAGTCGGACCGCCCTCCTCTGGACAGCATCGAGCATGGACAATGTAGTCGGGGCGGCAGCACCCCAAATGTGTGAGCAATACTCGAGGCTAGGCCTTATCTGGGCCTTGTATAGAGTGAGAAGGTCATGCGGAGAAAAGTACTTCTTAGCCCTAAACAAATAGCCTAGCTTTTTCCCAGCAGCTGCAGCTATTGAAGAGATGTGTTCGTGCCAGATCAGGTCCTCGGTGATCTGGACTCCGACCAGCCGAAATGAATGGCTCTTTGGTAGAACTCGACCGTCCATCGAAACTGTATGAGCGCTAGGACGCTTTTTGTTCGTCAAAGTACAGTACTGTGTTTTGGAAGCATTGAACTGTACAAGATTGTTGCGTCCCCAAGCAGTGATAGCCTCCAGGTCTCTTGTCAGAGAAGAAGTCGTCGCTAGTCTTCTTTTTTCTAGCTCAGCGGCAGAGATCGGCTTGTCACTCTGAATTCCTGCATGTAGAGTGCTGTCATCAGCGAAGCTGTGGATTGGGTTGATCGTGCAGGAAAGGAGGTCGTTGATATGTAAGAGAAACAGTGTTGGAGCCAAGACCGATCCCTGGGGAACACCCGCGTTGACGTTGTGGGATGAAGAGGAGAATCCGTCAATTACGTCGGATATCTTGCGGCCAGAGATAAAGTCAGCCACCCATCTGCAAAGCTTTTCTGGGAGGCCGTAGGATGGAAGTTTGCTTAAGAGGGCAGCGTGCCACAGCTGATCGAACGCTTTCGTGATGTCAAGAGCAACGACATGAGCCTCACCATGAGACTGGATGAGTTTACTCCACAGTTGCGTGACGTAAGCTAGGAGGTCCCCTGTGGATCGTTGGTGCCGGAAACCGTACTGCCTGTCGCTAATCAAGCTGTGACGTTCGAGGTAGTCCAGAAGCTCGCGATTTATGCACCTCTCCATCACTTTACTTATAACAGAAAGCAGAGCTATAGGCCTGTAGTTGTAAGGGTCGGTTTTAGATCCTTTTTTTGGGATGGGCTGTACATGAGCAAATTTACAGTTTTCTGGGAAGGTGCCGGATTCATAAGATATCTGGAAGAGACGCGAAAGAACTGGAGCAAGCTCCGCTGCACATCTCTTCAGTACAATGGCAGGAATCAAGTCCGGACCAGAAGCTTTGTTGATGTCGAGCGACAAGAGCACTCGTCTTACGGTCTTATGCCTGAATGTTACCTCCCGCATAGTGTGGGGAACCCTTTGAATTGACGGCACTTGGGCGTTGGTGGGGACGTCCATGGTGGAGTTGGCAGCAAAGATCTTGGCTAGCACTTCCGCCTTGCCTTTGAGTCGAATACAATAGTTCCATCCTGACACGTAAGTGGTGGAAGGCTACTGTGTGAGAAGTTCTTTTCAATCTGCTTGGCCAGCGTCCAGGAAGACCGACTGCCATTGCGCTGCGGCATTACCCTGTACCTAACTTTTATATCATGCTGGTTTTTGGCGCGGAAGGTATCGTGAAGTGGGAGTGGAAACCGAAAAACAAACTTATTTGACGAGGAGTACGAGAAGTATTGCTCGTCAAGTCGGTGTCTCACACTGGATTGTACATCGGACCCTTAAAGAACGGTTATTGTCCCCATATCAGGTCCAAAGGGTTCAAGCTCTTTTACCTGAAGATTTTCCACGAAGAGCAAATTTTTATAATTCGTTTTTGGGTAAACACCAAAGAAGTCACAATGTTGTAGCGAACGTGTTGTCAACAGATAAGTCTTCTTTTACAAGAAATAGATTTTGAAATTTTCACAATTTTAATAATAGGGTGGACGAAAATTCCCATGCAATTGCACAGAAAAATTAGAAGGATCAAGGTCTAAACACCCATTGGGTACCGTGGGGCTATAGGGAGATACAGGGGAAAGGGGGAACGCCACACGCACATTCTGGCTCCGCCTACGAGATCCGCCGGGTGGTACCTCCGCGTTCGACAGTCAGAGACCGTCTACCACCTACGGACAATCACAATATCCACAGCCAAGAGAAAAATTTCTCCTGGTACGGAATTCGAACCCGCACAGCGCACGGCGACTGATCAGGAGACCGAAGAGTCTACTACTGCGGCCACCGCTGCTGCCTAGCGTTATTAAATAAAAAAATATTAGCCACAAAAAAAGCGTAAAAGTATTCAATAATTCAAGGCATATTTTCAACAAAAATATCATACAAACGTAAACAATTCGATGAATCAGTTGCGGTCGTCGCGCGTTCTATCGCAGCTGCGTTGCAGCGTTGCCAAATGTTCGAGAAAATTTAATTATCTACGACATGTTATAATGAACTTTTTTGCTTAAAATAATGCAAAGAATTACCTCTTGAAGTTACGAATATTATTTCCCTAACACCCTGTATAATACTACGACCCGCTTTTACTATTATTGACCTGCGGGAATCCAAATTCGAACAATTAGAAGGCGTTTTTGTATTAGTGAATCCAACTTCAAAAAATATAGGTATACGATTAGATCAAGAAATTCTTCATAAATCACCCGGTGCAGGTACAAAAACTTCGTTTTTATTTGATCCCTGGGCCAAGTTTTACGTAAACGACAATCTGACCAATCGAAAAGAAACATTTCCGACGTAGTTGCAAATTCACCCTGCCCGCAGCTTAGATTAAACCGTATACAATATTTATATTGATATGACAGCAATTACTAAGCATTTTATTGAGAATAACAGTGCCACTACTCACCTGCGATCGATAATTTTGAAAAAAGGGATTCATTTTCAACAATTCATCAAAAGGTCCATCGAGGTTACCCATAAAAACTTATTTTTATTTCTTTATTTATTTTATTCATATATTTCTCCACAGACAACAGATAAACACTAAACAGGTGATGAAAAACAAATATTTCTGAACGGTAATTCTACTCGTAAAATACGTGAAGATGCATACTAAAAGGTACTGAAAAGCTATCAAACACTTACGTCACTGAACAGTTTGTAAATATAGCTATATTCTGATTTAAATATATGTTCACTCATACCAAAGTCAAAGAGATAGCTAAACTCGCTTAATCATTTCGATATTCCATATGAAGAGGATGTTAGCATAATATTTGTTAAAGCTTTTGGTACATAGAACATAGTAGGCACAGTAAAGTTTAAGTTGGACAAAATTTCACCACAGTCAAACTGGTTACTTAGCAATTTGTGCACAAAGCAGCAGAATAACAAAAATCTTCAGGACTGATGCCAAAGTGATCTAAAAGATCTTTCTTTTGAAAGTTGAATCAAGGATATGCACCATATGCTTATAGATATAGATATTTTAAAATTGGATTTTCTCAACTCTAGATATATAGATACAGGGTGTTCGCAAAGTTGGGGTTTTCCTTTTCAGAAACGACTACCTTTGAAATAACAAAGGTAATGTGTAGTGAAACGAGGGCGACCAAGTAAAAAAAAAAAGGAAAAAGTACTCACTCTCCAGTTGACGTCTCTGCCCGAAATCATACCGCTCCAACAGAAAATGAAATCAGCTGATGCGCTACCGAGCAGACGCAGGCAAACAAGGAAGGCAAAATGTTGCGTAAAAAGTCTAGGTCTAGGTTCACCATGCCAGCCCAAACATTCACCGAAAATATTTG